CTAAATGCTTCAAAATTACAAGGCCAACTTTAAAAGAACGACTGGGTATAATCTGTATTATGTATAATCCGAATTCATTTCTAGGGGTACCTATTCAAGCAGGTATTAAAAGTTTTATTAAAGAAGTAAAAATGGCAAAGGATCAATAAAATACTTATATAGTCCCCTATAGAGTAAAAGAAATGCTTTTAAGTTTTTTAGTAGATCTTTTTATATGTAGATATAGTAATGTACAACGGATTTATAGCTTAGACGGGATTTATTCCTGCATAGCAACTGGGTGATACCTAACTAAAAGCTACATTTTTAATTTGTAACATAGCAGAGAGCAATGAATTCCAATAATTGACGTTGTTTGAAGGTGCAAATGATTGAAGATACGGCAATTAAGTAACATACAGGATATATGGATAGTGCACTTAATAACTATTATTTATAAAAAATAATATTCATGAAAATTGTTGGAAATATATCTAAAAATGCCAAGTAGGTTATAAATTATTTCACTCTGTATGATTCCTTTACCATATTTTTTTTTATAATAAATCCAAAATATTTTAATATTATAGATTTAATATAAAAATAAAAAAAAAATCACATACTTCAAGGGAATTTTTAGTATTTATTCTAATTTATTTGAAGACATTTATTTTTTTAAACAACACCTAAGAATTTAAATTTACCACCTATAATGCAACAAAGAACTTCCATGTGAATTTTCTGCCTCATTTAATTGTACTTCACTTAAATATGTACCTACATTTGTAAATTTAATTTAGCTAATGACTTCCCGTGATTCATTCAGTATCACGGACAATGGGCAGCAGCGTAACAAAGTTAAACAAGTTTTTGTCAGTGTGGCACAAATAAAGAGCATTTGTGTCCAATATTAATATAACTAGTTTATGTATATAGTATTATCACCAACTAAAGAATAAAGGAAATTGTTATGTAGCTATCGAGCTCACATTTTATATTACTTCGTTTAAATTAGGTTGAAACAAGATAGCTTGTAGAATAATTGATATTGCATTGCTGTACAGAAATTATAGTTCACAAAGTTTGTTTATATATATATGAGGTTATTCATCTTCACTTATTGGTTAAGAAGGTTAAATCCTAGATCAATTATAGACACACACAGGAACATTAAATAAAAGTGATATAAATATAACGTGGTAGGGCAATTTCTAAGAATCTCTTCTAAATGTCTAGCCAGTTTTTATCGATGCTAGTCTGCATTGCTTCTTCATTCTTTATTTATTCCGACAAGACTGCATAACTAATTTTATTTTATAACTAGGTAACAAAATCTCTTGTTTTAACAGCAAGTAGATTAGGATAATTAATTTATAAATAATTTTGTGCTTATTTTTCAAATGATAGGTAACAATATCTTTAGTTATTTTAATTTAAATACAAATATTTACTGTAAATGTGCATATTATAGTGTTTTCAATATTTAATACTTGCATAGCGAAACAAATTTGCATGAAAATTAGTACATAGAAATAAATCTACCCAACCTAACATTATTCTATGACCAAATATTAAAACATCCTCAGAAACTTTTGTATTCATACTCGTTACTGAGAGGATTGGTTTGTCTACTAATCTTAGTGTAAGGATAGTAATAGAAGTGTAGAATCCTTATTATTCATACTTCACTTTAATATTTGAATTTATAATATTAAACAATGGATGCAACCGCTATAAGCATAGATTTTACGATAGTACCTGTACGAGTATAGAATCTGTATCAATATTTTTTAAATCTTACAATTGTCACTAAGCGTAGTTTGTCAATTTATTATTATCAGCTGTTGTTGGAACTATTATTCAGATGCGTAAATTAATTCGTAGTAAAGTGACAGCAATGAATATACTTGAGTGTAGGGTATAGAAAATTAATCAAAAATTAACCGCTATTGATTCAATATTATCAATTTTAAATTAACTGATTTACTTTTTCTTATTTTCGTGCTTCATATCAACCATTAAATATTTACTGTTGAACATAGGCCTTCCCCTATTGGAGGGTTTTTCCAGTAGTTGCCACGATTGGCAGACAGGTTGGCAACCACAGTTATGCTTTTGATACTATCTGAGGATGATTATCTTGCTTATTGTTGGCTAATTTTGGAGAAAAAATACTGAAGTATATACTTTTTTACGATATAATTTTATTATATTATTAATTTAGTATGTAAAATAAAATTGGAATTATTTAAAAAAAAAGCCACCTGACATAAGTTTACCTAATTGTAGATATCTCAAATTTCGTCATTTGAGCTTACTACTGGTTAGCATAAATTGCAAAATTGCTACCTTTCTAGTATAAGGGTTATTAACCTCTATAATGTTATTTCATTATCGAGTATCAAGGACTTGCATAAGCAGAAATCACGATTGGATAATAGTTCATTGATCTGATCTATACAATAATATTCTGGGTTTAATGGTCATGCAAGGTTGTTTATTTATTAGTATTGATTGACGTGATCTGTTCACCAAATTACGAGCACGTGACCAGTTTGGCTCGATAATGTATTAATCATTGCCTACCTTAATAGGATCAGTCATTAAATGACAATGTTTTACATATTTAGTGAATAAATTTTGATACCGAAGTAATTAAAGGGTCCTTGCTTCATGTTAATAGGGTCACACCAAATCTTTTTATCTTTATGCTTTTTGAAATGGCAAAGAAATTGACGGCCCAACTGTTAAAGAGTAGTACCTTAACCTATATACCTGAACAGTACCATGAACATCTTTGTGATGAATATACATTGCATTTCTGAGTACTATGATGTTGTATCTATCTCTATCCTGTAATTTCATTGTTAAACCTCACAATTTAATTCGAAACACAGCTTTAATTGCTTAGCGACAGATGCACGATTGAGTACGAATTACCCTTCTACAAACCTATTAGTAACTCTGGAAAAGATAGCCTGAAACCAAAATGTATATGGTCTATGAAATAGCAAGAAATTTTACGCACTAATATGAATTGTGTTACGACAAAGATTTTCTATTTATATAGAATGTTAGGTATACACTTTTTATTACACCTTATGTAAATACATATTAAGTAGATACTTAATTGTCATTATTGCTACACTGTAAATGATTATTAAATTTTCTAATCAATTGGATTAAAAATTGTTTTAGGTAAATGTCTGATAATATAGTATTCTAGATTATAGCTAAAGATAATTATATCATGGCTTCTATAGTTTTGCATGCGCAAATTAGGACTAAGCGTCCTCCTACATGTTTATTTAGGATATAAAATATATATTTATGTAATATTTTTTTTTAAAATCCATTAGTCATATAAACATAAGTAAGTAGTAATAAGTAACAAACATCCAATATCTTTATGAATTGACAATATATATTTAAAGTTAGTGAATAGTGAATAAATATTTATTGTTATTCCTGTAGGTATAAGATATAATGAGAAAATAGCGATCGTACATAAATATAATACAAGATTAATTTTGTATTTGCAATAGTCTTAATATTCACTCGTTAGACAGTTTTGATGATGAAATGCACATATTATAATTTCTTTTACCTTTGTACTGTTGAATAATTTCACTTTATAGACTTATAAGAAGAAAATGTCTACTATAACGTATAATCTAGTACAAAAAAAGTAGGTCACAAATCTCACAATAGTATTATGACAGGTACGTTATACCAACCGTAATCTGCAGATAGTTTGAGGGTGAATAACCGGTTTATATACGGTAGATAAAATTATTGTTTTCATTTTATATTGAATCATAACACAAATATTATTTACTCTTTCTTTCAGTTTTCATTACACGTAAACATAAATTATGCTATAGAATGAGCTCCCTGTCTAAGTTTTTTCAAGAGACTATACTAAGTTTCTTCAGGATTGACAACGCGCACTTTCGTCTTTGATCTATTCATGGCCCCAACATCAGGCACCTGTAACGGTAACTATTTGTCATCAAACAAGCCACTTATTTGCCACTTTTCTATAAAAAAAAAAATAGCGTTACAGGTTTTCCTTGAATCGATATTTGCATCATAGTTAGTACCTAGGAAGATAATTATTTAAAAACAAACTTGTTCTCAATTCAAGTGTATTTTTTAAACAATCAGGCAAATACAAGAGACAATATTTTTACTATATTTGCGATATGATCTGTGACGATTTTGATAGTGTAACAACTTACTACAATCTCATCTTTTGCATTGAAAGTTCACAGTTATATACAGAGTATGAATGTTTAGAAAATTTGCGTCTATTTACTTTTTTCTATCAGTACATAATTTGCGGCTAGATAGTCCCGTGCGCTATCTCCAGAATTAATATAATAGAAATATTCTATCTCTGTATATTAAGATAATGAATCAGAAGAGTTTGTTTGTATACACGTACTAATCACTGGAAGTACCAGTCGGATTTGATAAATTAATGCAGTTACTAGCTTATTTCTTAAGGTTACACATCAAGATATGATCACGAGAATAATTGTACCTATTCGGCAAGAAAGCTCGTAATTTTAAAGACACCAACTTCTGTAAATTCAAAACGAACATGGACCCGGTTCACCTGGTAACAGCGCGCTATGAATTCGGCCATCAAAGTGACGGTATCGGTACTTGAACATTCATTTTAAATTTCACTTTCATCGAACCGCTGCAAACGGTCCAATGATGGTAGAGTCACCACACGTTTAAGTAATACAAGTACTAAATTACAAGCGAACAAAAAATTACTATTCCTTTTTGTGAGTACTTTAGGCCTGTATCTAACTGAAATGAAGTATTTACGCTTCTTTTGCTTCCTTTTTTATTTATTTATTTTGAACGGGTTTATTAAAATTAGACTATATTAACTCCATTATAGTGACTCGCACTTAGTTTCTGACTATAATATAAAATAATGTATTTCATACTTCAAGATTAGTCATCTCTAATATTATTCACTTTTTATTTTGGATTCATTACAGATACGACATTAATAAGTGGAAATAATATCAGAATAATGTATTACTTCGATAATGGAACAACAAAATGTTTTATAAGCAGCAACGCAAAGCAGTACAATGTCCCTATGACACATAATTAAAAAAGGTAAATATAAATTGATTTAAATAGTTAATTGTCAAAAAATATTATTACAATTAACTATTTATGTATTGTAATAACAAACGGATAAAAGTTAAAAAAGTTTTAATAGAAAAAATGTATTAAGATATAGTACTGAATAACAATTATTCAGTACTAGGTATATTTTAATACATCTTTTACATTTTTTACAAAGACTTTTTTTTAATATATTATGTAAAAAAATCAATAAAAAACATAAACGATTAATTAATATTTGGTCACAATATAGCAGTTTATGGCCTTTACATTGTATTATTAGTCATACATTAAAAGTACAAACTAAAATGAACTGTAACCAAAAACTAGAATTATTTATGATTAAAAAATATCTTCACGATGATTAATATTCTCTGAAGGACTAGAATAATCTTTTAAAAAAACATACATGACATATAAAGTCAGAAAGTTCTTCTTCATCTGGAATATGCTCTTTAATGAGAATGCACTAACGATGATAAAATTTATTACAAAAAATACATAAAAGAGACTTATTTTTAATAGCTAGATGCCGGATTTAATAGATAAATGCCACAAAGTTTGTTAATATCTTTTGTTTGGCTGTCATTTTTTTATTTTAATGTTAAGTTTATTTTCACACCTTAAAATTTCAGTTCCGTTATAATTTTCAAATTTCCCTTTCCATACACATCTTTTTTCTTTTTGCGCAGCTACTTGTTTGTTTTTTTTTATTATTTTTGTTGCTTTACTAGTTTCTTTTTCTTATTAAATGCCTTAAAATCCTTGGAAGTTATAACAAACGAATTCTCTTCTGTCTATCTAGTAATATATTTTTTTTATTTTTTGGCCTACTGGTAATCCTCAATAAATTTATTAAAATAAGGAGTTTTTTTAAGTAGACGGCGTGCTCAAATCTATAGGAGTTTTTGTAGGAGTAATCTTTACTGTTGTTTATATTACTTTCGTTAGTCAAGTTTATTTTTGTTTTAATTCTGTCAAATACTTTTAACCAGTAAACACTGTAAATGCTGCGATAAACATGCTTTTTATTTAGTTTCTATTAAAAATTGTAGTGAATGCTCAATTGGAAAATAATTAACTGTGATGCAATTTTAATAGTGTAAAGTAATTGACTATTTGTATCTTTAATAATTAAACTAAAAATATTTTCTTAAGTCTCGAAGGCTGGTTACCGTAGGTGTCGTTGACCCCGTGTCCTCGCGGCCGCGTGCCGGTTAGATAATTTCCGCGGTGCGTTGTCAAAATACTCATGACCCAATGGTACACTGAATGCGCAAATGTCGATGAACCCTCTTCTATACGCTGTAAGTAATATGCCAATATCCTGTGACCCTGTCAATTTTGCGCCTGGCATCGTAACTGGCAAACGGGGTTCTTTTCACATTAGTTCATTCCTAGGGTGTCGTAAAGGGCGACTAAGGGATCCATCACAATACTTTAGTATATTGTGATGGATTGCTCTATTGCAAGAGAAGAAAAAAAATAATAAGTTTATGAAATGATATTGTCGTATCATTTGTAAAATTATATTATTTTACAGAGGTTGGGTTTTTTTTAAACAGCATAGTAGAAAAATGATATATATATATAAGTAATTTTTGACTAAAACTTTTAAATGCTATTTGACTACCTGGAATTAGAAGAAGGGACTTTAAAAAGAACAAGGTTCTTAATTCGGTTGTATTTTTCTCATGTTTGGTACCTCTTAAATCCGCCACTTGTAAACCGGTTTAGATAATTTTCTTTATTTGAAAGAACTTATAGATTGGTTCCGTAGGAACCTTATCAAAATCAGTTCAGTAGTTTATATTTTAAATAAAAATGACTGATTTTATCGTATACATACAAAGCGCACGATCATTTGTCATATGATAATGTGGTGGAGCAGTTTAAAATATAAAAAAAAAAATGTTTCGACTATGCTCTTTACGAAAAGTTATTTTATCTTCTAAATTATATCACTAGATTTCACGTTGGTTGGACGTACCTTTTTTATGCTTTTTATACATACAAATTATCTTATTTGATGTGTAAACTGAATTAAACATCATTTGCTGCTTACTCCCTTTCCGCAATATTTGACGAGTATTCGATCACTATAACTGCTATTCCTATTGAACTGTCGTATGACCCAATGGTATACTATAATGCGCGGGGTCAATGAACTCGCCGCGGACGCGCAAAATAGCGTGCGTCGTATTTGAATGATTTCGCTATGATAATTGCTATCGGTGGATAATACCAAATAATATCACGAAATATTACCAAAACTACAAATATCTATTACATACTGACCTCCTTATAGGGGTTTTAACCAAATAATGTTGAATAGACAGTTTTTCATCCTTAGGAAATCGTAAGAGATGACTGAGGAAATAAATACTTAAAGCACAATACTCCAGTACAAGACACAGAAAATTTGAAATAAAATTCTGTAAGTACCAATCTTGTTGGTAAATGTCCTTCGTTTGTGGAAAAAACTCGTGCCCAGCGGTAGGACGGCAATGGACCTACGACGAAAGATGTTAATGGATTATATCATTAACATTCCACATGCATGATGCATGAGTTTTATGATGATAGCACGAGATAGATAGTTCAATTCGTGATATCCACTAAAATATAATACTAATTCCAATCGGATGGAAGAGACTGTTGCTATTGGAGCGCTAGATTTTTTTAATGGGTGAGACCCAATGGAATGAGTATCTCTCCTGTGCTATTGATGTGTACTGGCTATGTAACAATGAGAGATAAATAGGCGATGACGAAAGCAAGCCAGTTGGCCCGTCGTGACGAATTTAACAAGAATTAACCACAATGGTTTTCAAGGAAACCACGTGGAAGTCGAATACATGTAGGGTATGTTGTTAGCAATGGGACTTTTAGACCTTCATCACTAACAATCCCTTTTTCCCCAACAGGGATCATCATTTACTGATACCTACTCAGGTAACATACACAAACACCTCAAGGGGGAATGGAATGTTCGTAAGGAGGACTAACATAATGTATCCTATAAGGTTGGCTTCCGCGATGTCTCCCCTATAAAAACATTGTGGTCAATTCCTAGAGATTTTTTTTATGCAACTATGAATGGTAAACAAGCTGACGGCCAGCCAGACATGAACAGTACCATGGATATAACAGAGTATACTGTTTCGGTCATGATTCCCGTCATGCGTTGCCATTCCTGAGGACTAAGTTGTTATGTCTCTGTACCCTGTAAATTCACTGCCATATCCGACTCTTCAAACCGAAACAAGCCATGATTGCAACTGCATCACGGTTGAAACACGAATGCGACAGAAATACCCAAGCCAACGACTTTTGTACAACGTCTCCCTTTGGCTTAAAGGAAAACACTAATAGCGCAGGTGAAATTACCGCTCTTAAAAAAAAACTTATGTCATTTATTAAAAATACAAATCTGAGTTGCTTTTTTTGCTACTATAAAATGTGACGGAGTGTGTATACCTACCCTGAAATTGATAAAACTACATTTACTTTCTACAAGAAACCAGTAAAAATATGAAGAAAACGTTGAATGTTGAAGTTCATTTCATATCAAAAAAGACAGTTACTTATTTTATTGTATACCTACTAATTATCGCTGAATTTTCTATGTCAAGTAGAATATTTAAGAAAAAATATAACAAGAAATTAAATCTAAATATTTTTATGTGTTTCACCATAATCTTAATATAGTAAAATTATCAGAAAGTTTGCATCAGAGACGTTTGGAAAGGTTCAACCTACCTAAATATTTTGAAACGCTCTGGCTTGAAAGTTCAACTGTTCCGCAACAAACTTGTTGTAAGGGTTGGCATGTATTGTTCTTATACGGAAATTATAACCATTGTACATACTAGATACTTATATAAACAATGGCGAATGTAATTTTAGTATAACCTACATGTACGAGTATTTGCGAAGACGATCTAAACTTTAAAACTATTTGAGGTAAGTACCTAGGTATGTAAATGTTATGTACTATTTAATCCATGTAAGGGGGAAAAATTGACAATAATGGGGTATAACAGTCCCATTGCTACTAATATACCCTATCGGGTCGACCTCCACGCGATTCCTCCTGAAACCATTGTGGTTAATTGTTGTTGAATTTATCACGATAACTGATCTGCTTTCGTCCTCATCTTACATCTATTACTGGTGCCCCGCTATTGTATATCAATAGCACAGGCAGAGTTGACATTCGTCCATTAAAAAAAACTCCCCGTGTAGTCCCAGCATAAACACGGACTACCCCTTTTTGTCCCGTGGGTGTTGTAATAGGCGAATAAGAAAATGTAATAGTCGAGAGATGGGGAGCAGTGTCCCTCTTAAAAGATTACCAAAGCCTTACTGTGATTGCCAACCCGCCTGCTAAGCGTTGGTAACTATTGGCGAAACCGGGGGGTTTTGCCAATATCTTATGGGGGAGGCCTATGTGCAGCAGTGGAGAGTTGGCAGCTGATATGATGACGATAATGATAAAATTCTAACAGCCCCATTGCTAGTAATATATCGTTCTACCTCCATGCGATTTCTCCCCAGAAACCACCCATTAAAAACACAATTATTTTCAGGGGGAACCATCAAGGTCGTCGTCGTACTGCGCTCTAGTGCAAGCTCACTCAGGTGAGTGGTGCAACTGCTTGTAAAAGCAGTTAACACGGTGCAGTGCTTAAAGTCAATTGATGTCATTATATTGTTATTATAACCATAATATACTTAAATTTTATCGGTAGTTGTTCTATTTTAAAGTCACGTGTTTATCCTTTTACTTAAATGGAAACAGCACTTACATATTGCTCTTGCATAATATTTTAAAAAATATCGTTAAGATATTTTTATAAGATATATAGAAAATATAATTCATGTTACTCGATGATAATTTCTATAGATTAAAAAAAAAGACAACAATGAATTTTTTATCTCCATGTAGGTAATACTAGTGACTTGTCCCGGCTTCACATGGGTATATAGATAAAAGATAAATTAGTATTTGAACCAACAGAAGATAATAACAATATAAAGCATAAGTTCACTCATATCGCAGCAATTTTTTTTAAATACAGCATTTTTATATCCGTTCGTAACTTCCAAAGGTCCAATTCGGATAATTTAAAGAGGAATTTACATGTACATAAACGACCTTGATTATAAAACTATTTAGTTGGATAAGGATTGATGTTGTAATAAAATTGTCGTCATCTGTAGATTCGACTCGTATTTTGTTTTTGAACAAAAAACATATAACAATAACCATTGTGACATAACTATAATAGATATATAGCCTCGCGGACTTTGTGAACAATGATGAATACTATAAACACAGTACATTTTTGTTTCGTCAATATTTTCGTAGTGCACGCCAAATAATAACGTTTATAGGAAAATTTTTGTTACATTGCGTTACATTATTGTAATTATCATAATTAAAGATCTCTAATATTTTTGAAAATAATATTAACTTATCTTACTCGATAGTAATGTAGCTTTCTATGGATGAAAGAACGTTTAAAATCGATTACATACATAGTTTTTGAGTTTATTAATTATAAACAAACCAACGAGTCTTTCCTCTATACAATATTACAGTATAGTTTAGGTAATGATTCATAACTACGTAGGAACAAAATTTACATCAGTAGTAAGTGCTCCATCTGAAAATAATCTGATAAGATTTTACTAGTTATGGACCCAACATAATTACCTAATCGTAAGTAGTGTATTGTAAGTTATTATCTAAACCTAATTATTTTATTTAATATTAAATTTTTACATATTGTTAAAACCTACCTACCTACTAACTACATATAAATTAAATAGATATAGATATTATTTTCAATAACAAAGTACATATGTATCTTGGTACATAAATATTTCAATTAAGAAAACAGAGATGTAGGTTTACTTTGCATTAAGGTCGATTCTGAAGCACTCTGAAACATTCTGAGACACCATTTATCTAAACCTAAGTTTAAAATTAAAAATTCAAATTAATGTCAATACGAAATCTTCATAGTTTTGAATAAATATGAACTAATTTTCTAGGTTCATAAAACCGCATTTTTGCGAAATTATCAAATTAAAATATTAGGTCGAAATAAATTTAAAGAAATGTCATCTCAGCATTGACTCTATTGTCTACTAAATCCTTACTAATCCTTCATAATATTATATACTGAGGGTAAGGGATTGTTATTAATCAGTCAGGTCGACCTCCATGACCTCTCGACCTGGAAACCATCGTACTGAATTCCATCACAATTGGCTAACTGATCTGCCTTTTCATTCTGACCTATCATCCCTTCATTCTCACCTCTCATCCCTCACTGTTGCCCCGTCAGCGAATAACGATAGCGCAGACGGGGTTACCATTTCATTATCATCTATTAAAAAAAATATATTATAAACTAGCTTTTATCCACGACTTCGTTCGCGTGACCGGGAATATAATCACTAAGAGGTATTATGTTCGTTGGGCGGGATCATGTTCACCAAATAAATATAGAATGTTCACCAAATAGATAAAAAGTCTTATCCCCATCAGTGAACAGTTACGCGAACGAAGTCGCGGGTAAAATCTAATTATTTAAAAAATAAAACTACCGCGACCATTTACTATAGGATTAGCTAAGTCCCTCTTCTTAGGAAAATGATTTAATAATTCTGAGAATAAAATTAAAGCCACTCGGAAGATAATTAATAACTAAACCGGAAAAGTTAAGGTTCCTGGTAATAAAATTGTTTTAAATATTAAAAATCAATTAATACTGACATTAAAGTTGTAGAGACTTTGGAATCTTTTTTCACTAATATACCATTTGCAGCAACTTTCAGCTTTACTAACAGAAAATGTTAGCAAGCTATCAGATAGCTCTCATAGGTATAATAAAAACATTTAAATCACTTAATAATAAAAAAAACTGAGGATCTATGGATGTATCTATTTAACCCTTCTTTGCATAATGGTGGAAATTTCCATCATAACATTAAATTCCCAAAAAATATATAAAAGAACAATTTCACTTTAAGTTGATCGTGTCTGGACACCTTTTTAATGTTCATTGCAGAAAAAAAAACATAGCTGTCAAATTAATTCTTTAAACCATTTTTTTTTTATTTTTCACATGAATTATATCGCCTTGATTTATTTCATCAATAAAAAAAATCATACAAAGAAGGGTTAAATACTTCGTTGTATAATTGAAACTATAGCACCGTCCCTTGCTTTTATTTTTAATAAATGCATAGATGGCGGTAAGTTTATTATGTAATGAAATTTATTTAGTTATTGATGCTTTATTTTATCACTTAAAGAATAATATAAAATTTAGAAGCATTATACCGTTTTTTAAAGATGGGATTAAAGTTACTTAGTAAAATATAGGCCCATTTACATTCCCTGCCATTGTAATGTCACAAAACATATACGCAAATATTTTGTATATACGCAGAAATCTTCAACTATTTCCTAAAAACAGCGATTTTAATAATCTTGATATTAGATACAGGCATAAACTTAGGTACTATTCCCAGGTATCCTTTAGAAAAAGTTAATAGGTATTTTTGGGAATGGGCATTATGTGTATAATGTTATAATAAGATACCGAAGGATATTTTGGATCTACCTTTTAATAAATATAAAACTTATTAAAAAGCACTTATTGCACAAAGCCTATTTACACACTAAACGATTACTTGAATGACAAACGTGCATGGTGTTAGTCGCTCATGTACGGGCTTTTCAATGTAATTTTAGACAGTACATTTAAATAAATATATGTGAACTTATATATATTAACAGCTTTTTAAAAAGTAACTGTTGAGGTTCTTGCGGGCTCTTCTCAACAAATAGCAACCTTCTCAACTCTGGAGTAGTTTAAAAAAATGTCAATTTAAAAGTGCATGTAATTCAGTCTATTTGATTAAAAATAATTCTAATTATCTACTTATTATCTTATAACTGTAAAATCTTAAAAAATCGATATTATAATATGGAAAATTTTAAAACTGGATAATTTATGTTATGGGGTATTTTCCTACGGGTAATTATTATTCCGGATTTAATAATGCAATGACGTCAAATGGATGTTGCAACAGAAAAATCTGAGTTCAACGACACCAGTTACCTACCTTGATGATGTTTGGAATCGAGCTGTTATTTCGACATATAAGTGGTAAATGTCAATTTACTAATCTTATAATCACGCTAATATATTATAATATTGTACCTACCGATTGTGGGTTTGTTTCAAGCGACATGGGTACCTGATATCGTATTACTTGGTAAAGATTTTATTTTTACATTTTTTCTTTAACATTTTATCTTTTTTATACTTATTTCCATAATTTCAAAAAATAATCAAAGAGAGTACAGTACGAGTAGGTACACTTAGAATTTTTTGCGTCTCCTAAATTCTTAATAGTTACCGCACTTAATTTAATTTGTAATTTCATTTTATTTTTGTACGTTTTGTACCACTTATCGTTAAACTACGTACTACGCTAAAATTTTCGTCACTACTATGCCCACGATAAATATTGGCAAGTATTTGAAGTAGATTTTTTTTAAAACAAATTATAAAAAAAATAAACTTCGATTTTTATAGATACATACCTACAAACCCGAAAAAGATATTTCTTGTAATTGTTTGTATCTATAATAATTTTTCTATTGTAATCTTTTGGAGGAAACAATAAAGAGTATCATTCTTTACCCGAGCAGTTGGGTAAAAAACATGAATTTTGGTATTTATTGGTTGTTTTTCTTGACATTGTTGCGATATCGAGTAAAGCTTATAATAAATGCCGAAATTCAGGCTCAGCAATGTCACAACACAAACATTCATAGGCGTTTATAAAGGTTATTCGAGTTCTTTGATATTTAGTTTGTTAATCGCCACATTGACGATGGAGATAATATCTACAGAGTGTTTAGCGCCGAAATGAGGCATAAAATTATCAATGTAGTATGCACAAAATGCATATTAGTAAATTTGCATATACGTTTGGCGGTGAATGCACGCGGCGACCGGCGCGAGGCCGGCCGATCACCTGCACTGCATTATGTAACTACAATTTACCATGCACTACCATAAAGTGCAATAACCGCGCTCAAAACAAATTGCGAATAGGTACGACACGACAGACAGGTCTTTGATCTTGATACGAATGCACTACGCCCGATAGATGTAATAACAAAAGTTGGTTGCCTTCTTAGTTGTCTTATTTACTTATTAGACGCACTAAGTACGTAACGTATTTACCTATTATTGTGGCTCTACTGGGATTTTTATTTATTAATTTAATTACAACATGTTATAGATTTCTTATAAATTACAGTTGATGTGGTATTAAATTTCGTTGGACACGGTAGGTATTTATTTTGTTGAAATCTAATACTAGCTACCTACGCATTTCCAGGTACAGGTATGTTACAAGAAGGAATCATTTCCACCTAGTTAGTGTAATATAGACGAGTTTATTTCTTTTTCTTATTATAAACTTTATATATTTGTATTTATTAATATCACGGAGTAAATACAAACTACTTTGTATCTACTCCATGATTAATACAAATGAACCCATAGTACAAAATATTTGAACCGAATGTAGCATAAAGCAACTGATGTCATTCTGCAATTTGTATTGGCGCTAAAAATAGTATTGAAGAAAATAAGATTGAGTGGTATTATATAATTATTATTAACTTTATTTTTAAACGACTTCAAAAAGAGGTACTCAAATTCATTGGTTTTTTTTTGTGTGTGTGTATAACACACAATGTTTTTCTGGGGTTTATTCCGTAGCTGGTGCCATATTACTTTTGTTATGATTGATAGTATGTAAAAATTTATTTTACATAAAGAACTGAAATTTTTTATTGTAATTAGCTGTTTAAACTACAGGTATATATTATACACGGCAAGAGTAAAATACTCATAAATTAATCGTGAACGTTCATTGACACAGGTAGCGGCTGCCTAATTGCGGATAGAATATAAACACGTAATTAAACTGCGATTTCCACATTCATTAACATAGCTGAGGCCGTACCTATAAACATGTAATAAAAATAATGATCTATCGTTAGATTATATTTTCTCACAGTGGTTGTAAAGAGGGCCTCTTTACATTTGCATTTACATATTGCTAAAAAATTGTGATTTTATATTATTATCACCAGCATCAAAAAATATTAAAAAAACAAGCGCATTACTGATATATTTCAACACTCGGCTCAAAACAGCGGGTCGTAGAAATTTTAATTGAGATATTGTATGTTACTAAGGTAAAAATACAAGTTCTGCTTATTTAGATACTAGATAGCGGTTTATTTTATATTTCTGACGTGAGGTGCTATCTTAAATCTATGATTTCTGATGTTGTTCGTAACGTTTATTAGGACGATACATCTATCTCTGTATCTTCACTAGTATGTTATGAAACCGGTTGCGAAAAATGAAACAAAAATACACATAAAAGAATATATTATAAACGTAGGTAATATGCGAACACATAATAATGCCAATTCCTTTTGACACTTTACAATATTAATTTTATGGCACGAATTACCATTAATAAAATTTTACAATTACCGCTATCTACATAGATTAAAAAAATATTAACTTTTTTTTATATAAAGCAATAGATATATGGTTACATAGTAACCGTTGTAATCTGTTTTTAATACATACCATTTTTAGTTAATAAACTTGGCACATTTTTTGTCGAAATAATTATGCATAATCCTATATATAAAGCTTGTACTATATAAACAAATAGAAAAATAGATATGTTTAATTAATGTTACTTTTATAACTTAATTTATTTTTAAATGAATTCTGAATAAAAAATATGCCAAAATTTTCTACTAAGTAAGCAAAATATTAAAAAAAAGCATGGATCACCTGTATCAAAGGTCAATGTTTATAAAATTATATACTTATATTTTCTAATATTATGAGAACAAGTCTAACTTGAAAGGCTTAAAGATATATACATTCATAATAATTGTTAAAAATGGTATCAAGGCACCCTTATGGTGCGACTTTTTTTAATGATGCAAAACTATTCTGCAATTCGTGCATACCAATAGTCGTTACTGAGGCCACATTGCATATTGGAATTTTAATTTTTAAAATTAATAACTAAACTATATCTAATATATTAGGCCAACATAAAGGCGAAAAATATCTATAAAAATTCGTTATTAGCAGTCTTATGTCTGAGAGATATCGTACAACTTTGACTTAAAGTTATACAAGGGTTATAAATTTTTCATTATCTAGTGCCGCCAAAATGTTTACTACCATAATATTATAGTAATATCGTACTTAGAAATTTATATAGAATAAATTATATCGTATGAAGTAATATAAAAGTATATAAAAGTTATGAAAAAAGGAGTTATATATTAAAGGTAAGTCATATAATATTTAGTAGAGTATATAATAAAAATGGAAATAATAAATCTGTTATACAGAAAAGTATTGAAAATAAATGTGCCATATAGTTAATTAGGCGACCTCTGTGACGTAATATGAGAATCGTACTAATCCTTATTTAAGCAGAGCAACATTGCCACATAATTTATTTATTATTAATACGTGTTATTGCAGAGAATTGAAAGTACATTTTACGTGTGCCGTGTAAAATACTATATACATTATTTTATACGATGCCGGCCACTCCTAAGGCACATGCCTTTGGAGGTCAATGCCCTATCAATTATATTCATATAGAATCGATATATCGATTAATGAAACTATTAACCTTCTTTTAAAATCTGTAAATAATTTTACAACATATTTGATAGCTATACCTATAAGAAAATTGCGTGATCACACTTCCATTATTGATTTAAAACATTAAAATAACATTATTGAAAGAAATTATCATCAAATTGTAATACGCCTCTTATGGTTGAGAATTGATTCATAATAAATATAACTATATAAGCTGATATACATTAGAAAGATAAAAACCTTTAAAAAATGAAAACATTTTTATTTTTTATACCACAAAGATGGCAAACAAGCATACAGCCCGTTTGATGATGAACGGTTACTGTAGACTATGAACACTAGGGATATCACGTGCGCGTTGCCGACTATGAAGAAAACTCAATATACCCTTTGTGAAGAATCTCATAACGTAGTTTCTAGGGAAATCCTCAGCTCGGGAGCTCATTCCACAGCCTGAGCATTCGTGAGAGACAATTTCTCTGAAATCGCAGTGTACGTGACCATTTAGGTTCAAGCATGTGAAGATGAATTCCCTGTCGATGACGAGCGGTGTGATGATAAAAGGTGGCTGTAGGCATCATTTCAAACAATTCCTCAGAACACAACACACAAAGGGAGGCAAGGTCTCGCCTCAGACTTATGGGCTTGATATCGCCTGTGAGCTTGGGATCGTCACCAATTCTTATGGCCCGACTCTATTGGACCGAGTTCAGAGGACTAAGCTAATATCCAGGTGCTCCGGCCTACAGATGAGAGCAGTACTCAATGAGAGGCCGTACTTGCGATTTGTACAACAATAGTCTTTGTATCGGAGTGATGTACCGTTTCACTCTATTGCGCACCCCGAGCTTTTTGGACGTCGGCTTGACCCTATATAGATGATCTCGGAACTCTACAGTGCTGGAGATGTCGACACCAAGGATCCTAATATTTTTGGAGATGACAATTCTTGCTTTTTTAATGGTGAACACGCAACCTTGAGCCTTAGATAGATTAAATTGGACTATATTTAGTCGTCCCCAATCGGAGACTCTAGCAAGAATACTCTCGATTTCAGACACAACTTGTTCGCGGTTAGTCTCTACAACGATGTGAGGAATATTTGCACGGCCCGTGTAATAAGAATTCCCAGTATTATCATCCGCATAACAATGAATGTCGACCGTAGCCAGCAAATCGTTGATATGCAGCAAAAACAGCGTTGGGAACAACACAGAGCCTTGCGGGACGCCAGCATTAATGTCCATGCTGTCGGAGCTACTATCGTCAACCACGGTTTTAATGCATCTGACGGACAGAAAGCTGGCAATCCATTTGCATTATTCCTCGGGGAGGCCGTATACCAGATCTGATCGAAAGCCTTTGCTATATCTAGGCCAACCACCAATGCCTCACCCTTACTTTTAACGGCAAAAGCCCAACGGTGTGAAAGGTATACTAGAAGATCACCAGTTGAAAGATGGTGGCTAATACCGTATAGGTGATCGTTCAACAAATCGTGATCCTCTTGGTATCCTCCATCAACTTAGAGAGAAGAGAAGCGATGGCAGTAAGCCTATAATTCAATGGATCCGATCTGTCTCCCTTTTTAGGCACAGGGTGTCGGACTTCTAGTCGGACGAAAATCATTCTGTGGAGTATGATAATGCGAACATATTCCTCTAAATTATTAATGGACATAAAAAGGCATATTACTAACCTCTTTGGTGGCTAACCGAGCTGCCCTATTCAACGTTACATTGCAATGTGTATGTAATGTTTCTAAGCACTCACTCTGTTTCTTTGTCCATTTTGTCTCCATGGCGACCGAAAAAGCCGTACAGGAAAAGGTGCATAATAAACTTATTAATATACACATTCTAATTCTTAATAGATCATTGGGTTGTTCTAGTAGGTATAAGAAGTTGAAATTCGGATCGTCGAATAGAATCTTCTCAACGACGTCGGCGTGTTCGGGTAGATCTTGCAAGACTATTATCAGTAGTCCGACAATATTTAGTACTATACGTGGTGTTTTTGTATCTGAAATTGATTCAAAATAATGATTTAGAATTATTCATCTATAAATAAATGATAATATGATAAATTCTTAACAAAATTTGCGATTTTTAATACTACATAATATTAATGCTAAATGGGATGATATTTTCTATTACATGTATACTGTGCAAACAATTAAAACTTTTTTAATAAAGTTTATAAATCTGCATTATTTTATATATTTTTCACAACGCTTTCCAACCGCGTTTATCTACTTTCATTCCTTCCCTTTCTAGTATAAAAATAATTAAAGTAGATAGACATTTAGAATGTTGAATACGCATCGACCCAGAACTATAGGAACAACAAAGAAGTAACAGCATTCGTGACTTACATTGGGCCATGAGCGCGGTGAAGACTGGATATGCTTTATGCTCTGATAGCGCAGTAGCCAGTTGACGTGCACCTCTGCTTGAACGCGCGCACAACCACGAACACGCCTCCACCATGCGGCATACGCCCTGCAGTCTGCACATAGAAAATGCACAATTTTGTTTCCAGTATACAATCAAAATGAGAATAGGAGTTACTTTCCGCCACGTTATGACGTCTTAGCTGTCAAAATAAGGGGAAATGGGATATGGCGTGAATTTACAGGGTACAGAGGAATAACATCCGAGTCCTCAGGAATGGCAACACATAGGGGGTATCATGGGCGAAACAGTATACTTTGTTATGTCCATGGTACTGCTCATGTTTATAGGCGACGGTTACCACTTTCAATCAGGTGGGCCGTCAGCTTGTTTGCCATTCTAAGTTGTATAAAAAAAATACACTATAACTTGTCACCGCGTTATAGAAACTATACAGGCTCATGCAAAAATGGGACGAAAATATGTAATATGATTATATATATATATATATATATATATATATATATACACGTTTTCTTGCGTGGACAAGACTTATAATTTTGTAAATTATGAATAAATAATCTGTATCTGTGTCCTTATACAACGTTGTAAATAGTCTGCCTATATGGTAATGTTTTATATCTTGATGCAATTTATTCATACTTCAGTTCATTCTTCATTCTCCGAGAACAAGTCACTATGTTTATTTACTGAAGAATAAGTCAATTATTCGAGGACTTTTTTTTATCTAGATCATTTGTAATAACAAATATACATAACCAAAAAAATAATAAAGTCCATATCAATATAATAAATAAACATATATGCAGATTGTAACATAAAGTTTACTAACTAAAAAGATCATAAGAAATACCTGTCTTCCGCCACGTCATCTGAGTTGCTACTGTTTTTCATTAGTGTATTTATAGCAGCAACGAAGTTGAACACCACTTTAGCCTCGAGGTAAACCTGATTATACGAACAAATACATATATAATTTAAAATATGCAAATCAGATAGGCAATAATTTTTTTTTAATATAATAAAAGTCGAGAAAACCACTTATAAGAAATTGAAATATAGGTACTATCACGTAGTACTTAGGTATTATTTACGTTATCTCAAGTAAAAATGCATGGTTACTCTAATATATTTATATAAACACATCTTTGACTATGTAATTTTTACCTAAATAAAATATACAACTAGGGACGAAAACTTTATAAGCTTATACTTTCTCGTGCTCGTAAAATTCATTATATCAAGTGTAGACGAATTAAAGTAAATAAAGCGATTTATTTTCTCTTCACAATTCATCACACTTAAATATAATAAAATTAGCTTAGCTTTAACGAATTATAAATATAACTGTGAGAAACTGGTGTCTGAGATAGGTATAAGAATACCTGAATTACAAGTCACCACCGCCTCACTCCGCAGGGTTACTATGTATTCGTATTTTGGTGTGTTTTCAATATAATAGATATTGTTTTTTTTACAAAGAGATAATTTTGTTCTATTTTAAATCTGGAAGTTGTGTTTGCGCGTGTGCACGTATATGTGTGTATGTACGTATTTATTATTAAAATTTAGGTCATTAAGATATTTTGTCAAACCTTTGGGGTAAGTAAAGCCTCTGTAGCATTATAGACAAGTGTTTTGAACCAAATAGATACAGAAAACAATGTATAACTACATTTGTGAATATAAAACAATAACTACATGTTTTAAAAAAATCATTAAAATCAGCTAAGCGGTTTCAGAGATTAGCTTGGACGGGATTTTTATATATAAAAAAATATTGAATGTAATTTTTAAACATTGTTATAAAAATGGAATTATATAGTGAGATACAAACATGTTGAATATTAAGCAGTGTATGTCTAGGCAGCGAGTGGACAAGCGCAGGCAGGGATAAGAGCGCGGCTACAGCGCCGCACACACGACCGCCTCCCGCAGTCCGAGCCCTTGCTGCACTGCCTACTACACCTATTACCATGCTCACCTGAAAAATTGAGGTATCACTAAACACATTTATTTTTTATTTTTTATATAACTTGGAATGGCAAGCTGACGGGTCACCTGTGATGATGACTGGAAAGTGGTAATAATCAACCATAGACATGAACAGTACCATGGACATAACAGAGTACACGATGTCGCTCATGACACCTTTCATGTATTGCCATTGTAATTTCATTGTCATATCCCACCTTGCAAATCGAAAAACAGCCATGCAAACAAATGAGACAAAGATGTTCAAGCAGATGACATTTATCAAATAAAAAAATTACAGTATGCGAGCAATTATTAAGTACATACTCGTACATAGATTTAGATATCAAAGTAAGCCATTCCCAAATTTTTCTACATATTTTGATGTTTTTTAATCGCGTCATATTTTAAAGTAAATACAGAGATATGATAAGAGAAATTAAAAAGAATACAAACCATATTAAGTTGAGTAAGTGATTCGGCGTCGCCATCCATTACTTCATTTATATTGGAATTCAGAAATGCTTCCCATTCTTCTAGTTCTATGGAAGATGGTTCTTTTGCTGTAAAGTAAGAATATTATAATCAACCGACTTCAAATAGAAGGAAGCTTAAATTTAGTTGTATTTATTTTATGTTTGTTACCTCATAACTCCGTTAATTCTAAACCTATTTGGAAAATAATTATTTCAACTGAAAGGATATATTTTCAGCATTGAAATTGTATTAAAATCTGTTAATTTTTACATCAAAATAACTAATTGTCACAAAAGAAATGAGTGCTTTGTAGGACATAATCTTTAATTATAATGTTATATAATTATTATCATAATTTGATATGTAATAGAAATAAATAGTTATTGATATTAGTTTTAGGATAAAACTTATGTTTATGCTATTTTTAACTCTATTTCTATTTTATCTATCTAATCTATTTATTATTTTACATAGATATACTTAATTTCATTACATTTATTTCATATTTATCATATAATTTTATACAAATTGTGTAAGTATAACATAATTCAGTACATAAACTCATTACCTTCATGTTTTTCTTCTGGTTTAAGTATATTGTCATTGTTAGCAACTTCTTTATCATCTGATGTTTCCTCGATAACTTCACATTTTTCACTATCCTCATCCTTCTCTTCTTTAGAGCACTTTTCTTTATCTGTATTAATGATACTTGGTATTTCGACAGTTGGCTCACTTGTACGCCTTTGACTATCGCCTTTGTTTTTATCCCAGCTTCTACTGAAGTGAAATGACCTTTTAATACTTCTTGTTAACTTATTTCCTCCACTTCCAAATCTAAGTTTATCTCTTGAAAACTGTAATATCTTTTGTTTATATGATGGTGGGACACTTTTGCTAAGACCTGAACTAATATCGCTACTACATTTGGTCGAACTTTTAGGATTTTCTAAACTTTGTGATGCAGTATGTGTTTCTATTGATTTCGCTTTTTGTTTTGTCTGAATTGCATTGTTGCTGTTACCACTGACTGCTTTTGATTCTTCGACACATTTGTCTATATTTTGTTTTTCTTCATCTATTTTATCCATTTTATTTAAATTACAATCATTTTGTTTTTTATTTGTCGCTATTAGTTGCGCCATATTCTTTTCAAGATTACAAACAACGAGGTTTGAATTATTCATCACATTATATTCATGACGGAGTAACTTCGCATTGACAGCAGTTATTGGTTGTGCTTGGTCTTCGTCATCAGTTTTGAGACTATCGCGAACACTAAAAGCACTTGTGGCTCTAATACTGTCGTCGTCTGACATGGGCACACACTCTGTAACTTGTATAACACCACGTACATTTCTTAGATCGTGTTCTCTAGTATTTTGTTTTAATGACTCACTTTCTAGTTTCATAGTCCTAAAATTAAAAACTATATCTTGCAATTTTGTTATAATCATTCCAAATGATAATTAATACCTACATATAATTTTAACTAGTATTATAATATTTTGTTAATTGTGTTAATTAATCCGCTACAAAACTCTTCTGGCAAGGCATACCTTATTGCAATATAGTGTTTAATAACTTCATATAATTATTCAACACTACACATATGCAATTAAAAATACTATGTATGTGCAGTCTCCATTGAGATTGTAATTGTAGACATCATTAAAAAAATTACATAAGTTTTAAAAATAATATAGAAATTATTATTAACAATATATGAGACAACACTTTGTACGTTTATAAATTTTGTATAAAAATACAACCTTTTATGCAAGTTGACAATTTAAGTAGCATTACCTTGCATTGCTATTAATTTTATCTCTCTGCAGTTGTTTAGCTTCTTGTTGGCTGTGTGTTAAAGGTTTTGTAAATGGTGATTCACTTTGTACATCTTCTGGTAGTATTAATACATGACCAGCAACAAATTCATGTTTCAAAATCTCTGGCCAACTTAATCGCTTCAGAGGATCTTTATGCAGCAAACCCTGAAATTGTAAACATTATTTCAGCATTATAAAAGTAAAATTAGGTTAAAATTAAGTACACAGATCATCATTTAAATGTAATCATTTTTCACTAGTGTTCTAACAGCATAAACCAAGAGTGCAGAAAAAGGAAGTAATCATCTTATGACATAACTAACTTGGCTAACCCACCATTTTTTCCTATAATATTGTAATAAAAAAATAAGTTTAATTCTTTTTCGCCGTTAAGCCTCTCATGTGGACCGTTGTACTTATGAGTACATACTGTGTGTCTTACTGTATTCAAGAGTGCATTTTTTCATTTTTTTTCACACACAGCGTCTATTGTTGGATCAACTATCAATTTACATTAGTCAATAATTGTAATTACAAATTAAAAATACCTGCAGAAAGGAGCGTGCTTCTACACTAATGAAGCTGGGCCATTGAACAGGTTTATGTCGAATCATCCGAACTAGTTGCCAAAGTGATAGAGTACAAAATGGAGGTTGCCCAGCTATCAGTTCATACACAATGCAACCAAGAGACCAGAGATCGGCCTGTAGATATACAATTTTCCAAAATTTTTAAATTATTAGCATGATGTTTACATTAATAATTTAAAACACACAATTAGTTATATAAATATATATTTCAAAAATATAATTTATGATAAATTAAAAATAAATTTTATGATAACTCTCAAGACTCCAGAACACAGTTGGTCTTTTTTATCAGATATATTATATTATATAGTGTGTTAATTAACTAAAACTATTCCTTAAAACTACTGTTAGTATTCATTAATAGATTCCTAGAAAATAATTTTATATGATTAAAGACAAAACCTACTACCAGTATTACACAGAACAAGATATGTACACATATTTTATGTAGTGCCTATTATATCGATACAGGTGTTCTTTTTTTTAGAATTTTATTTTTGTTTCTAATTTTTTTTTCTAGGGAACAAATTATATACTAACATTAATTTTAAGGAATAAATTTTGTAATTAAAATACTATATGTTATATTTAATTCAAACTGATGTCATAAAAGTCCACATTAAATAAGAATTTAAAATAAAGCTAAGTTTGACCACATCCCAACCTAAACAATATCCATTACTGTATCGAAGATCTTCGATTATGTTTGGATTACAGAGAGGGTGTGGTCAGTTTGAAACAGGAATTCAAGTTTCAATACTTTATGAAATAGAACCTATTATTTATACTGTGGTATTTTTACAATAATTGTTAGATATAAAGATACATTTTAAGTCATTTATAAAAATCCATAATTACGTACCAGGTGATCATATGGCTTTTCTTCAATTAATTCAGGAGCCATATACAGTGGAGTGCCTTTGATAGAGGTAAGAATATGAGTAGCATTTGTCATTATCCGAGCTAATCCGAAATCACACAGCTTGGCCTGACCATTACTGTCTATAAGGACATTCTGAGGTTTTAAATCTCTGAAAGATTTTTATTGAAAAATACATTAAAAAAAATTACAGGCAATTATAATAATTTACTGCAGTCACTCATGTAATATTGTAATAATAAGGTAATATTTTCATTACAATTTGAAAACATTAAAAAAATGTGCAAGCAGGTATAAACCACCCAATATTATTAAATATAACAATCTTATTTAAATTCTATGATAAATACAATTTGTTAAGATGTTTGAAAGGATGACTGTTTTTTCTTAATCATGCAAATACATAAGCATATGTACAAAATTCATGGCAGTTTCACTCCCATACATCAGAATATTATAAAATCATAGGATACAAATAGTAATTAACAGTTTGTCACATTAACTAACAGATAATTTAAAATTTTCTTCTAAACAAAACAGCAACTTATATGTTAGTATAATAGGTTAATGTAATAATAATTTGAATACACACAAAGGGAAGACTAACTGAAATTGCTTAAATTATCCACCTGAAACTGTAACTAAAATCATAAGTCATAGCCATGCAATAAACTTAATGCAATTTTATAAACATTAAAAGATACTGTGGACTTTAAAAAAGTATTTGGATTTCTTTTTATTTCATAAAATTTATGACTTTAAATTTTACATGTACAATAATACATTTACTTAAACTTTAATACACAATATTGTATATTGTGTATTAAAGTTTATTATAGTGTATTAGTGGAGTGTATATAATAGTGGAGTTAAAATGACAAATGTTTTTATGCTAGTCAACCTTTGGGAAATTATAATTACATTAGATTCAGCAAATAATGAGGTTTCCTTTGTTAACAAAGTTATTTTATTTTCTCATTCATAATTAACAGAAACAATAAAAAATTGGTAAAAATATAGTAATGTACTTAATATATTAGTAAATTACTATACAATAAAATCAAGCTATTTGCAATAAAATCACATTACCTGTGAAGTACTCTATGTGAATGTAAATAATATAATGCAGATACAAGGTCCCATGTTATTTTTTTCACTTGCTCTTCATTTAAACATCCTTCTTTTGCCAATATACTATGCAACTCTCTCTCAGCATATTCTGTGACAACGATTAATTCAGATTCCGTATCGAAACTATCGATCATGCGTATTATATTAGGGTGCTTCAGTTGCCTTTGAATATCACATTCTTGCCTCAAATTTTTCAAGTCCTTCGACGACCGACCTTTCTATTAAACAAAATATCGTAATTATTATATAAGTAATATTTTATACTTTACATATAAGTACTGGGAATTTCTTTCGCTTAACAAACCTTTCTTATAACTTTTAGTGCGACTACAGCATCAGTTTCCTTGTGTTTTGCTTTAAAAACACGTCCAAATGATCCTTCACCAATAAACGATATAACTACGTAACTTTCCATACTTCACAGATGAATAACGATTGGATAAATATTATAAATAGATATGTATTATTTTCGATGTAGTTTAACAATCATTATAGTTATAAATAATAAATATTTTTAAATGTTAAAATAAACTTTACAATTACATTACTGGTAATAGATAATAAAACAAGTTGACAATTGTCACTGTGACAATAACTGTCAGTGACATTGACACTAACAAATAGAAATACCATAGATTAAGAATAATACAATGTTATTCTTAATTTATGGTAGTGAATCAGAGATTTTCTTAATTTGTCTCTAATAGTTTTGTTCTTACAGTGTGATATTCAATTTACGATTATATACAGAATCGATAAATTTAACAATAGAATGTGCATGGTGCAGTACTGTTTCATGTTCCCATTTTATACTCAAGTGTAATAACATTTCGTCTCGTTTTTGTGATTGCATTTCCAGTCCGTTATACCCGTTATTCATAAAAAATATGAATAACGGTAAGAATTATATTAAAACATACAAGTAAGAAATATACAAACTACCAGTCCTATTACTAACAATATATCCTGTCAGATCGACCTCCACGTGGTTCCCCCTGGAAATTATCGTGCTGAATTCCAAGTGTATTCATCACAATGGGCTAACTAATTTGCCTCTTCAATCTCACCTATCATCTCTCTTTGGTGCCCCGCCAGTATATACCGTTATCGCAGGTGAGGTATCATCTTTAAAAAAATGCCTATTATAAGAACATTTAAACATTTTAACCCACAAATTACTATATTATTTTATGAATATAAATGCAATTTGTTTATTCTTCTGATTCATATTTTAGATCATAAAATATGAATCAGAAGAATAAAGAAGTTGTTGTTGTTGTTGAAAATTTGCTTTTAATTATGAAGAATTACATTATTATAATATAAGATGCACACCCATCCCAAAGACATAATCAATCAACATTCTATTTATTTAAATTAGTCCATGTCAATTAATATTTTTATATATGTGTATAATCGTTTTTTTATTAAAATAGTAATTATTATATGTTTATAATTGTTATTACAAATATATATATATATATATATAATAGTAAGAGTAATGTATTTGTGAAGACTTCTAGTTATTTAGTCTGTAGCACTTGACAAGTATGCAACCTTAGTTTGCAACATAATGACGAAAATCCATCAACCAATATAATATTTAATAACTTATTGAGTGTTTATGAATAACGTTCTATTACAATCGTTCCTAAAGTAGGTATTATTTGACATTTTAACTAAAGAGTTCTTTAAAGCTACAGTTAGATTTTTTTATCAATACGACTTTAGTTTGTGAGCAATTACAGAACATGTACCCGTAAACATAAAATAAGTGTACCATTCTATAAAATTATTTATAATGTTTTTTTACCTTTATTATATTTTATTAAAAAAATATTGTTCATTTTCTGTATTTTTGTTTGAAGGAAGTTCTCAGGAATGGCAACGCATGGGAGATATCATGGGCAAAACAGTATACTCTATAAAGAGAGATCATAAAATTGTACGTCTTTCACGTAATTACGGTTTAAACATTGATCTCATTAAATGTAATATTATAGAACAATCAGAAATATTTTGTATAGTATTATGTAGAAATTAATCGAAAGAACTATCTGGTTTAAATCAAATAAAATTCCAAACGTCCCCGAATTGAAATTAAGACTGTAAAAAAGAACGCAACATATTTACATTACACGTATACCTACTTGTGTAATTATTTTCTTGTCTCCTTTTTATGATTGTCCTTTCAGTCTTACAGTACGCGAGTACGTAAACAGTTTTAAACTAATTTTCCTGGTCTATTTATTCTTATCTAACATTTATTATTCTGTGGTTTTGTTTACAATAACTTTTGTAACTAAAAAATAACCTGAAGAAGTTAACTTTTTGTCTTTTTTATGCAGGTAATAAAATAAAAGCATGTTCGAAACTTAAATGTTTAATTATAAACAAGTTTTATAATATGTAACAACTTCTATAGTTATATAATATAATTTTAGGTCCACAATTTGAACATTTTATTTAAATAGTTATTGTTATCATAATAAAAACTGTTCGGAGATAGTTATACTAACTGAAAACACTTTACATAAACGTTCACAGTGTTGGCTCGAGAGATAAATTTAAATTTATAAGATTTATAGTTGTATTTACTGGTAGCACTGTTTAATTACCATTGTTTTGTTAATACAGACAGTTGGAATCTACTGGCTATCTCTTTTCGCATTCGCACTGACAATAATTTTTGGTTTTGTTTTCAAGCGCACAGTGACGATATATATACAGATATTCTGAATAATATACCATCTTGAGAAAATTTACTGAGTTTTTTCGTATTCACTTCCATTTTTCTTTGTGTATCATAGTACAAGCTATGTCTAGTTTGAGGCTAGATGGCGATGTGTAATATTTTTATTATTTTGCCGTGTGATCCTAGCATAGAATGGGCCACACCTTTTCGCGTGGGTGGTGACTAAGGGACTAAGGGAGATTAATGGTTAAGGGATAGGCAGCAGCGTCACTCTTAAAACATCACCGAAGCCTAACCGCGGTAGACAATCCGCCTGCCAAGCATAGCAACAACTGACAAAACTCTTCTTTGGGAAGTGGTTTATGTTTAGAAATGTGCGGCTGATACAGCAATAACATCATCTCTCGTCGGTACTTCGTCAGCGTATACGGTTAGCACAGGCAGGATTACCAATCTATTTTCATTCATTAAAATAAAAAAAGAAAATCGTCTCTATATAAACGAAAGAGGGTTTGTAAGTAACAACCCTATTATTATCAAAAAAAAAAAAGTTAAAATAGCTCTTTTTAACTGTAAAACAGTGAAGATTCCTGCATGTTTTAAACATTTTGTATAGGTTAGTAATTTTTTTTATCATATGATTTTACATACATAATAACTGTAGTACTAGTGTACTTACTTATTACAAAAAAATGAAAAACATTACATATTTTTTTACTTACTTAATTATATATTTGTAATTATAATAAAAACATTCTAGATTTCAAAACAATGTAACTAATGTATGTAACTTAGAAAACAAGACTTATTAAGATCCTAAATTAAACTCAGGGAACATGCAGTAGGTAAGTATCGACACTCACCAAAAGATTAACCTATGTATTCGACAGCGGTAAGATTATATTGATGGTTTGTTTTCTGATCGCTATTTATACTCGATTATATGGCAACCAACTGTATGAGATAGTAACCGAGATCGCATATACAATAAAACACGGACCAACTGCGCTCACCAAGACTCGGACGAAAGCATTATTTCACGTTGAAACATATTATTCCACAGCCGTGTACGATCTTGTAAACAAACGAGACAGAACGTGGGCGTATGTGTACATTAGGGATTTAAGTAACTCAGATATTTTGTTATTCTTGCTTTTTTTTTAGAAGAAAGCGTGGAAAGTATGCGGTAGAAATGCATATAAGATTAACTAGACTTGGCATATTTTTCACAAAAGCGCCAGACTAATATTGCTACGACAATCGCAAATTAAATTATACTTACCTATTACTATTTTAAACAAGAACCTTTATAATAGACCTAACTTCCCATCCTCTATCTACACAGTCTCATTACCTCGTAGTCCCGTAGAAATTGCGTGAAAAATTGAAGCACGTGTCGTGAAATAAATATATATTCTTTATTGCATTTGTAAATTACATAAATAATACATTTATAAATATTGTGAGCAAGGATGAACTTATCTCTGGAAAAGATCTCTTCTAGACAATCCAATACAGAGGGAAAGCATGTCGTTAGCGAACGAGTTAAGTGCACGAATGCTGTATGAACAATTATAAATACTGTGAATATGTATAAATACTATTATTAATCAATACATACAAATAATAGTTAAATGGAAAACTAATATATATTAGAATATTACATAAATACATACATATAATAACTACCTACCTATATAATAAATGTTAAAATAAATTAATACAATCCTACCTTTTAAAAATGAAAAATAAAGATTACGAATCATAGGAAAAAAATACAATTTAAACTTTTTCTTGAAAGAGGTAATAGAAGGAATCTCTTGTATGTGGGGAGGGAATTTATTCCATAAAAGCACAGCTCCAGTTCAGTTCCCCATAAAATGTAGCCTACATAAAGGAAGTTCGACGGTCTTGGACTGAATCTGACAGGAGCGCTTAGGACTTAAATTATTATAATTAGTAAATACTTAAATACTCTGTCTCTGTATTATTGTGCATTTACTCGGTGACAGTATTTTATTATGCTTTATTTTTCTTTACTACGGATAGGTATTTATTTCTATAAAATTCTAATACTAACAGTAAAGTATAGGGAGGAAAGGAATTGTTAGTAATGGAGACTGAGAATCCCATTGCTAGCAATATACCCAACCAGGTCGACCTCCTCGTGGTTCCCCCTGGAAACTATCGTGGTTAATTCCTAATGATTTCATCATGATGGCCTGTTTTCATTCTCATCTATCATCCTTTACTGGTGCTCCGCCAGCGTATTCCGTTAGCGCAGGCAGAGTTGCCATTCCATTTTTATCCATAAAAAAAAGTACAGTATAGAGCTGTGCTAGCCGATTATATTATAATGAAACAAAGTGCAAGCAATTCAATATTGAGCTGTTTCAAACTATAAGTATTTTTTGCCTACTTATCTTCTTATCAATACGATGTATATCAGTATTTTCTTTTTTATCATATGATTTATTTAATAACTAATATCATTTAGTAATTGATATTTTTAAACGCTCTTAATGCCTGCCTGCACAGATGATCGAATTTTATTTGCGGACAATAATTATCTTTATTCAAGCCTTTGCACAACATGTTTACGTTGTAGTATGCAGATTTGGAATTGTATTATGACCGGCCTACAGTTACGAGAGTTGTCTCTCGTCGAATTTAAGAGCTTGAGAAGAAAAGAAAACTGTGTCAATGACAAAGTATATTGTCTGAGCGACAAAAAAACATGAAAAGTATAAAACAAACAAGCACATGTGTTTTGCTGTATAAGATAGAGGCAGAGCTGCGTCGTCGACGGAATCTATTAAAATTGTACTTGGCGATTTTGTCTGTAAAAAAGAATAATCTCTGTGAATCCGATTAATAT